ACTCCATAAAACGTATGTGTCTTTTCTTGTCCTCATGCCTCATTGGAGCTCAATTCACTGATTTTAAAGTATGTCCTAATATCACACTAACACTCGGGAGAGGGATGGAGGGAAAAATAGGTTGTTCCATCTAAGCACATTTTATAAACATGTCAGCTTTGTTGACTGAAAACAAGAGCCATTTAGCCAAAATGCAAGGATCACTAACCATCTTCGGTGTCACAGTGAACTGGTATCCTATCGCATGGTGATGTCACTTGATGTCAGTGTTGAGATGTCATTACCTTCATCATGACATCATAGCAAATTGAAATGTCAGAAGCAAGTCTAAGAATCACTGCCAGTATTTCTGTCCCTGGCTCCTCCAGGGGTTGCAATCTGCCCTTAGGGGTGTTCAGTCATAGTGTAGTGTGGTATATAAATGGTTAAACAATGTTATATAAAAAGAAAAGTGAATAGAAAGGCTAGAATGCACCCTGGCAGCCAAAGTGGTCCCTGGCTAATGAAAGAGGGATTATGTGAAACTTTACACGGGTACTTAGTGGTTGATGTAATGACAGCGGCCTGCAGCCAAAATGTGTCGCTTTAATTACTAAAATAAATAGTGCAGCTAGTGAGAGGGCTACTTCTAACGACATGCGAGGAGCCATTCTCATAACAGAGGGATAAGTAGAGGGTATTAGGGGCCTGCAAGGTGCATTTATAGACCAAGGTGCACAGATGTGGGTCTTAAAAAGGAAATATACTTTATAGAAGAGTGTGGCTCAATTTTCGACATATTTGACTGATAAAGCTCCAATCTGATGGATGAATGTTCCAAAAACAGGCTATGGGGCAAACTGAAAGAGAGAAAGTCAGATGTTCTAGTCTAATGGCTGTCAGGAAGAAAGCCACTAAAGATGGATTTAACCTTGCATCGAAAACATTGCCTTATCTCTAAAACAGCAACATTTACATGGCAGGGCCACTGAACGCAGAGCAATATAGTTACATATTCTACATATGATAAATTAATTTTTTTTTAAATACAAAAACAATAGATATGGGGATATCTAAACAACAGATACATGTATAAAACTATATCAATTATAAAAATAAAAATAAATGAAATTCTCTCACTTAGATAAAATCACAGTCTCTCTATTAAAACCGCTGTGTGTTCTGTAACTGTTTTACTAATAAGTTTAGGACATAAACTCGTTAAAATGTATAAACAATACTAAGATAACCACTATTCTCTTACATTCTAGGAATGTCAGCTGTTTGTCTTTACTCATCACCCACACTGGAGAGAAATTGTTCCCCAGTTCATGGCAAAATTGGAAATCGCTTCAAAGTGAGTTTTACTCCTTTTGCATCAACAGCAGTTGTACAGATATGTGAAAGGGTTAACTTGATGGTCTTTTTTCAGTCTATGTCACTATGTATCTATGTAAAGCTAGTCAAGGCTAGTCATACACACACACACAAACACACACAGCCTTGTAGCAAAATAGGCCTTAGTCAGCACAGACCTGGGAGAACAGGGAGTGATACTTTCACCTTAAAGGGTTACTTTGACATCCTTGACCACGTCTGCTTTTAGGAAAGGTCATGGTGGAGGGAATCTGTATGTGTATCTCTTCTGCTTGAAAAGCTGCACATATTGAGATATCTGTATTTTTATGGCACCAAGCTAGTTACAACCCTGGCACACGAGACTTATGCCACCACTTACTCTGGTCTGGGCTGCCTAATGTTAAATCTGTGCAACCTTTATGTCTATGGTCAGCGCACACAATGCGCTTGCGGCAAATGTAATGGGCTTCTATCCTGGCGCCTACAAGGGGCAGCACTGTGAGAGCACCTACAAGGGGAAGCGTATATCTCCCCTTTTTAACGTGCTACAAAAATAGCTGTCATAAAACTGACTTGGAAGAATAAAGGTGAGTATTTATAAAATAGTGGAGTGACACAAAGTAACCACTATCTTCTCATATGTTCTGATTCCATCCCTGGATACCACAATGTAAAGTGCTTGCATTCCTCTGAGGGAGAGGGGATTTTTAATCCCTGGAATATTTTAAGCAGGAGATCATTTCAGACATTATTCCCCACTGCCTTTACTTATCTCTAACTTCAAAGGAGTCCTCTTCCTATATAAATACTTACTCTGCTCCTTAGTGAAGTGGCCTTGTGCCCCCTGTCTCCCCTGCCTTGCTAATGCTATGAGCTAAGGTGATTAAATGTCACTGTGATGTTCTGTTGCATGTATCTGATTTACAGAATGAATGTTTCTATGTTAAACCTCCCTGGAATGTTCTGCAATATCTATACCATGAGTTTAACTGCCGCATTGTCTCAATGTGTTATATATAGGACATAAAGTGGACACGGAAATCTGACTCACAGTAAGAATTGTGGCATATGAGATTATTCCTCTTCCTTTTGGAATGACAACGGGGGTCTAATCACTAAACTCGGAATTTTACCAAATCAAAACCTCAATTTATTCTTTTTGGAGAAGCTTTTTAAATGATTTAATGTTTTTGGATAAACTTTAAAAATATGTTTTTTGAAAATATTAAAATACAAAACAACCCTTGGTAACCTCTCCCGACACTTCAATTATCGTGTGTTCTAATTGTGTATCTTGTTCGCGGGAATGCAGCAGTGTTTGGGCGTCGATTGCATGAAACTCCCGAAGTTGACCGGCAAAAGCACAAAATGCCCTGGAACTGTTTTGGGCGTAGGACCCTGTGTGCGGCCGGTCAGAACTTTACCCTGGTGGCGTTTCGGCTGTGTTCGTGGAATCTGAGCGCTTTTCGGATACGTTGGGCACTCAGATCCAGGCTACCGGAAGATGTATAGACTGTGGGGGTTCCTACGTCGGAAATATGTATTTTTATGGTTTTTGTAACATTATTGCTAAGTCACGATGACAATGCATTTCGGGGACATTTTGTAGGTGTGTTTATGTGTGTGTTATGGGAGTGTCATGGGCGTGGTTGCTGTGTCTCTGTTCTGTATGAATGTGGGCCATTGAGCCCTGATTAAACACATTAGTTTCTACCCTTCATTAAGTCTAGGCTGATGTTTGGAGAATTGGGAGCGATAATCACTGCTTCACTGGGGATTTAGGAGAACTACAGCAGATATACTCAGCCGGAGTATAGGGGATCCGTTACATACAAACACACACACACAAGGTGTGTTCCTATTATTCCTATAGGTTGATAAAAACTTGATATATCGTCCCTTCAGCATCTTTACCCTAAACAATGACTAACCGAAAATAGCATTGACAACCTGGCATTTACCTCCAGGTACACCTGTCCCCTTTCCCATCGTCTATCTGGTTAAGGGTTTTACGAATGGATTCCACACCGGTATTATCTCACTTCCCTCAGGTACTCACAAATTTCACAGGGAATTTCAACTATAAAAAGAGGCTAATTATCGATTTATTGGCTCCCAATTCTTTGTTCACTCCCAGCCTGAACTCTCCAATTTCTTTAGAAGAATTTTTCTTGAAATATGCCTCAGTAGATGATGCAGCTCAGCCATTCTGAGAGCAGGAGTAGCATCTTGGTTGGTCCAGACTGACATCTCATACTAGAGTTAGGGTTAGGAGTAGGCTTAGGGGTAGGGTTAGAGGCAGGTTGGGGTTAGGGGTAGGGTTAGGGATAGGGTCAGGGCTAGGAGTAGGGTTAGATTCATGTTATCATTCCCTTAATTTTACCTCACTCTCCTGTTTTGCCACTTTTCAGACATCTGAAGCACTTCGGCACTTCCGAAATTCGGCACTTTGGCAATTCGGGACTTCGGCAAATCGGGACTTCTGAAATTCGGCAGTCCAGACATTCGCAAGCATCCGAATGTCCGAATTGCCGAAATTCGGCCGAATTTAAATTCGGACAGAAACAAATTGCACATGTCTACTTGTGATACATCTCTGATTAGGCCTCTTTTTTATTTTTTATTTTTTTAATTCTTTATTTTTGTAGTGCTGGTAGGTACAAAGTTACTTCAAACGCCACAACAGCATGTATCAACGTATAACAACAAATAAAAGAGCTTGATAGTGGCATGCATAATCGCACATTTTTTGTTTTATACATTCACTAGATTCATCTACTATTACTCTCAGGTTATTCAACATTTAGCAGTAGTTGCTTGGCATAGCAGGGCATAACATATTTTCTACATAAAGGAGACGTAGTTGTATGGGAAGAATGACCTATATGCTATATTGTAGGGTCTCTAGGAGTGCCATCGCATTAATATTTTTTTGAAACCTGCATTTTTATAGTTTTGAATAGTTTGAACAAAGATATCTCAAGGCTTGTTTAGTAACGATAAGTTAGAGCACATATAACTGAGGTTCAGAAGGTCAGAAACCTAATGCTGCTAATGATATGCTTAGCACTACAGTGTGTAGACAATGTAAGTCATATTGTGTGCTGCATTAATAAGACATGTTGAGTTTAGTGTCTATTATGATTACATTCTAGTGCTCTTAAAACATGCTGAACCGGAGTAATTAGTAATATGAGCCCTGTGGCCCATGCATGGTAGTTTAGGGAGACAGACATAATTGATGTGGTTAACGAGTAAACTAACTTTGCTGGATACATTGATTCATTCGACTACTAATGATAAACTCTATTAAAAGGGAAAGTAAACATAAATAGATAAACCTGTCACATTTCTAACCACTCGGCTTGTCAAGGGGCTGGGGTGGGCAGAGCAGAATGACAGTCCTGCCATCCGAAGTGAGTCTCTTGGGGAGGGGGACTGCACAGTTAAGTAAGTGTTCCAGCAGGTGTGGGTAGCCGGTATCACAGGTGCCCTAGGGTGAGTCTCTCTCCCGCAGTGCCATTCAGCCGATGCCTCATGTGGGCAGAGTACAGACCTGCGCCAGTTGCTTGTGCCTCTTGCTCTGCATTCCAGGTGTGCAGAGGAGAGGAGAAGTCGTGGGGGTTACAGGTTCGCCTGGTGGGTCTCCTGGGGTCCTGGCTGTGAGTTGTGCTGATCGATGCTGTGGCTGGCTGTTTACTGTTTGATGTGGCAGTGTGGCGGTATCTAGTTTAGGCTTGACAGTCTGCCATCCCCTCGGTCTCTCTGGGTGGGCCTTGCCCCTTTTGAATCCTCGTTGGGTCGTTGCTTTGCATCGAGGCTGTCTGTGGTGTTGTGCCGTGGGAGTCCGCTTAGTTTTATGGGCTTTGTGCGGGCTGTGTCTAGTTGCAGTGTTGCTCCGTTTGGGCGTTGTTGGGCCGGACCATTTCTTGTGAGTGTCCATTTTGAGAGTGGAGTTAGTCTCCTTTTTCGCTTTGCCCTTACGCTTCAATCCCTACAGCGTACCGCCGGGTGAGGATTCCACTTGCGGGGGCCACAGTAGAGCCTCTAGCTTCTCCCAGATTGCCCTGAATATGCGGTCGTACCTGAACTCTCTTTCCCTCTTGATCGTGTGCATGGCAGTATAGGCTCTGCCTGCGGTCTCCGGACTTCGTGGTCCTGTCGCTTGGGCCTTGTGTGGCCGGTTGGTCTTGTGGGGTAGGACCGGGATATCCCCCGCCGGTCCAGAGGAGGGGGAATGAGGGCTCTGAGTCAGTTTTCCCTTAGTTCTCGGCAGCAGGAGAGCAGTCGCTTCTCCCGTGCCCGCCAAGCTAGTAGGCCTCACCGGTGCATGTTGTGTCAGTCAGGTCGATCGTCTCTTGTAAAGCATCATTTTGTTTGTCCCGATTTCTTCCATCGCTTGGTGGTCCCAGTTTGGCTTTTAGGTGCCGTTTTGGTAGGGTTATCTTGCTTTTTTAGGTGCTGGTCGCATGAGCTGTTAAGGGTTGCTGCTGCTCAGCTCTGCGGTTTGACCCCGCTTCCCTAATTAGGCCTCTTTTAATGCTTGAAATGCCTTCTTGTCCTCAGGGAGTACCTATGTGTACGGAGAACAAATCAGCCATCGGGTCGGTGTCCCCCCTATTTTCCCGTTGCACTGTCATTCGTACAGGTTGTTCCACTGAGCGTGGGCAGGTGTGTGTTCCAGCACTTCATACCCGAGTGTCCTTGAGAGTTGCTCTCATATTTGGTCTAGGGCATGTGTCACACGTCTATGTGTTGAGCTAAGCACACGAGGTAAGAAAGAAGTACTTTGCATTAACCAGCCAATAGCCATTCAATGTTGGCGTGTCAGCGTTATATGAAGAGATGAAGAGGGAGGTTTGACAATTATAGAAAAAAGTATGAGATGAGTAGATAGAAAGAGGGAAGAGGGAGAGAAAAAAAAAAAAGAAGGGGAGGGAATGTGAGTCCCTATGCACACAGGCCGCACCCCCTACCCAGACGTATGTGCACTCAGAATCAGTACCTCCCGATAAGAGACTTTGCTATTGTCTCACTCAGTTGATTGGCCATCAGGATCTTCTCTTTTGCTTTAACCCTTTATTTGCACCCAGGGAGAGATGGGGGTAGTATGAGGGAGGGTGTGGCAAAGGGCACCATAGGGTTAGGAATACAGTTTTGTATTCCTAAAACTATAGTGTTCCTTTAAGTGAATAGTAACTTAGTGTCCCCCTATTCTCTCCCAAGTCTCATTGATGTGGAGTGACTCCTGGCAGATCTGTGCCTGAGCAGATGGCTGTACCCCAAATGGAGATCCCCGTCTGTGGTGTACCTCAAATGATACAGTTATAGGTGATGTCAGAGCTCCTATTCCCATTGGATCCCTCTTGTCCCATTGGATCCCTATCATGTTTCAGTATAATCTCTGATCGGTCAGTAAATAATTAATATGGTACTGTAATATGGATCACACAATGAAATTAAATGAAAGAGTCAAGTAATGAAAGCTCCTATCCTATCCTGCTGGATACAATTTTCCCATATTAGGGACAGCATTCTCTCATCTACCTGCACATCAGTTATGGCTTGTAGATGGACCTGTATGGATCCAGACACACTCTATTAGCCAGCCCAGACCAGGGCAGCCTGTGTACTTATTGGGACTATTACATGGGCTTCATTTGCTGCAACGCCATCTGTCTGTTGAAGGCTACTTTGTTGTAGTTATGTGCATGACCTAGCTAACTGACTTGTATATTATCCTCTATTTGCATTTGACAGTAAGTGCATTGTCTATGATCCCCAGACTCCACCTTCTTGTGACCGTTATATTGTATTGTGTTATGTTACTAAATTGAAGTCCTAATTGAGGTAGTAATAAATCCATTGATAAAGCCTATATTGGTGAAACAAGTTTGGATATTGTACTGCTTTTAATTATTGTTAATAAATAGATTTTGCTCCTTTTACTCTTTTGTTTATTTACATCTTTTATTTACATTTTTATTTATTTTTTATTTATTTTTTACAATGACCTGGCTTTTTACTTTACCTTTCCCTATACTCCAAAGAATCCTTAGGTTGGGATCATACCACCCGTGCGCATGTCATAGAGCAGTTAGCCTGCCCTATATACTGTGAGTATATTTTATTATATTTTATATACCAGAAATATTTTACTGACTATTGCTGTTTTATTATCATCTCTCTGAGCTCCTGTTACCATCTCCAAGAACGCTCATCAAATATCCCAGAGGCGGGGATCATACCACTGTATGCCTACTACACTAGAGCTAGTATAATCTCTATCAAATGTGAGCGGATCTACTATATTTTAATTTTTTTAATCTATTTTTGAAACATACAGCATCATTACTGTTTTCGTTTTATTTTCCCCCTGGCTGTCTGTTACTGCACCGAAGAGGAAACTCACTGCATATCCTACAAGCGGGGATCATCCCTCTGCAAGCTATTCACACCAGAGCTAGATTATGCTCTACAGAAAGTGAGTAAGATCTCTTGTATTTTTATGCGATATCTCTTGGATCACCCTGTACCATCACCCTTTTCATCACTCATCGCCCTCTTCCACATATTCTAAACCTGCTAGGAGCGGAACCATACAACTCCAGAGACCAACCTAGGATCCAAGTTCCACTATACTGGACTCCGCTTTATTATTACTACCTCAATTAGGACTTTATTTACCTTGCCTATTGGCGCAGTCCCATCCCTTTGTTTGTTTGCTTTTTTCCCATTTACTTCAAGGACACGGAAGGGAGTCCTTGTTTGGGATTGCTGCCTTTTTTCTTTCTCTTGATACGTTAGCGCTGACTCTATTTTCTGTTTTTCTGTTATGTTACTGCCTACATGTTTCTCCATATTGTTCTTGTTTATGTCATGTGTCCGTCTGGATCCCAAGCTGGGAACCAATCACCTCTCTGTTCTCATTACAGGTAATAACACCTATGTTTATCCAATCCTATAAACTCATATTGACCAGAACATGTGTTTTCTTATCAGGATATGTCATTATATCCAGAAGTTACTTTGCTCCATTGAATTTAAACCCTATACAGTTGTGACCAGTTTAAAAGAATGCACCAACCCATGGTATGTGGATACCATGTATCCTTCTAATGGCTGTTATATTTCCATGACCAAGGGTCGTAATGATGAATGTGCATTTACTGTATATAAGTATTTATTTAATTATCACTTTGAAGAACAGTGCTACATGGGGAGCAGTTAATAAAAAGCTGCCATTGGATGCCATGGTGAGCCTGGATTCCTCAAAGTTTGTCTTGATAAACACAGGTACAAATGTCAAACAATTTGCCTGCAACTGCAGTGCAACAATTCTTCTTAAAGAGTGGGGATTTTGAGGGTGATACTAATAGATATATTTAGCAAATTAGTGCTGGACAAACAGGTTGTTGGGTGTCAGATTGTAAAGGACAAACAGCATTGAATTTGTCATAGGAGACACTATTAGAGAGAGGGACAGATTAGCTCTGATTCTTCCATCCCATTAAGAAAATCCTTTAGCGACAGATGCTCAGAAGGTTTACAACGTGGGCCTTTCTAAATGCATGATAAATGAGTTCCGTCTCATTAACGTGTCAATTGCCAGATTAATATTTGAGCCACAGGATCGAGCGGTGTTTAAATGGTCATTAACATTTCCTATTCTGATTCTCATTGCAGAGAGTGACGCACATTGTTCCAAAAGTCTTGAGTCGATCCACCCTTTGGATATCTAACTGCCTTCTCTCTTAGCGACCAGTAGAGGTCCTTCTCATGAATTGGAATGCCAGGATTGAATGCAGGAATTAGAACTATGATTTTCTAATAATTTTCTTCACCTTTTATCCTCAAACCGTAACGTAAGAATATTAGAAAGTGTGTAAAGACGAGAGGAGCAGTATTTGTATTTATTGTTTTTTTTTTTTTTATACAATATATTTTTCTCTCCTTTGAAATGTTTTATCTATTTTTTTGTAGATTTTTATTTTTGAGGTGCTGAGAAGTCTAGTCAAACACAGGCGCATGTGATAAAACAATTAGTCATATCGCTTGAAGACAGGATATGGTATGCAGAGAAAAGTTATCTACAGTTGCGATGGAACACCACCATTTAATAAAGCTTGCTGGTGATTGCTGCATAACTTTATTCTAAATCAGTCAAGGGAAGGCTTTTATTCCCTTTGAACTGTTGCTACAATACCCAGGTGTGTTTGGTATACTTAGCTATTCTATATTGAGGAATGTTATGTAAAGTGGTAGGGAATAGAAAACACAAAGCTGTAGCTAGTTAAATGTGAGGTTAAGCATGCTGAGATATCTTATGAAATAGGCTTTATACCACTGGGACATAAAATGTGGCACAGTGCTGCACTATAGATGAGCCAGCTAATAGGGAAAATAACATGAACATACAGAAGTATTGAGTTCCTCAATGAGGACACGATCATTAATGGCATCCGCCTTCAACATATGGTGTCACGTGTCAGACTGCGGGTCTGCGGTTGTCTCAGCCGATTCCCTAGGGCAGCAGGCCCAATGAGCATGCCTGTCAGGGCCTTGGGTCAGCCAAGGGGGGGCAAAAGGTGAGTAGGGCATTCCTCCAGCCCCAGGCTTTTGTGAAAGCCAACATCTTCTGTCCATGGATTCGGTACTTCTTAGTGGCCCAGTCCTTGCCCCCAAGGGGTAGTTGAAAGATCGAGGTGGTGTCCGCCACCAGCTGCGTGGGATTTGAAATGTTTTATTGTTTCAAATAAAATGACATAGTGTCTTCTATACTTATAATGTACCTGTGATCCTTAAAGGACCACTCTAGGCACCCAGACCACTTCAGCTTAATGAAGTGGTCTGGGTGCCTGGTCCAGCTAGGGTTAACCCATTTTTTTATAAACATAGCAGTTTCAGAGAAACTTCTATGTTTATGAATGGGTTAAGCCTTCCCCCTGTTTCCTCTAGTGGCTGTCTCATTGACAGCCACTAGAGGCGCTTGCGTGCTTCTCACTGTGATTTTCACAGTGAGAGCACGCCAGCGTCCATAGGAAAGCATTATGAATGCTTTCCTATGTGACCGGCTTAATGCGCGCGCAGCTTTTGCCACGCGTGCGCATTCAGCCGACGGGGAGGAGAAGAGGAGGATCGGAGGAGGAGAGCTCCCCGCCCAGCGCAGGAAAAAGGTAAGTTTTAACTTCTTTCCCCTTTCCAGAGCCGGGCGGGTGGGGGCAACCTCAGGGCACTATAGTGCCAGGAAAACGAGTATGTTTTCCTGGCACTATAGTGGTCCTTTAATTAAATGTTAAATTCTGAATATCAGCATTGTTCTCGTTCAAAATGTTTAATGTGTTTAAGAAACAAAATTCAATAAAAGTTGATACTTTCTTGTGGAGTGGCAATATGTATATATATATATATTGATGGCAGGTATGCAACACTATCAGGGTTATTCTCTAAAACCATAAACTGTTGGAAATTCATCTATTAGATCGTGGGGGGTCATTTATGGGGGAATGAGGATTTTTGTTTGCTTTTCTGCACTGAATGCAGTGTGTGTTTCTCATATATATTATATCTCTCAAATATTGGCTTTAGGTTCTCACCTTCAGCTAGTGGACCTGGCTGCTGATCACTTAGGCTGCATCTATTTATATAAAACCCACGCAGCAAATTTAGCTTTAATGAAATGGAATTTGCCACGTAACCTGTTCTTTGTTCACGTGTAACTCATAACATCATTTTTTTTTACAATCCAAGATCATCTCTGTGGTTTTCTCGGGATGTTGTGCAAATTTAAACAATACCCCATACTCCAAAATGTGTGTAAAGCACAGTGATAATCTAGGAAAGTCTAGTCTATAAACACTGTGGTGACAGTGTGGTGTTAATGGGTAATGTACTTCACAGCCCACTATGGATTGCTACTACCGCATCACAGTAACTACGCCAATAGTGTGGAAATTTAGCCCATGCGCAAATTCTTTTTTTTTTTTTTTTACCACCCCAGGTCATGGAGGCTCTCGATAGTGAGAGAGAATGACATTGAGACAATATTCAGGGTTTTGTAAACAGAAATATTATCCATGCAATGAATATGCCAAGCGATGCCTTGCCGAATATCTTGGCACCTTGTTATCCCCCTGGAGAGCTCTTTGGGGACAAGTTTAACCTGAGAACAAGCAGTCTGCCATTACTGTCAAAGCCATGAGAGGCAGAAACGTGTTATGAAACAGTCTGACATTAACCCTTTGGCATGTGTGAAGCACGCTCCGGGAGATTTACAAGACATGAAAAAAAAGTCCACAAGCTATTATTACGTTACATAGATCATTTTGTCCAGGTCGACGTGTCCGCAACACAAATTCATGAGCCAGATGCTGTGTCTGTCAGTCTGCTTTTAAAAGACCGGCTGAGCCTTTCTCCATTCTAGAGGTACTTAATTAGCACCGTTCAAGACAATAGGGATGGAAAACCTGCATCCCAAAGCACAGACAACCACAGAAGCAATGATCAGAAAGTTATAAACCAAGCGATGCAAACTTGTTGTTTTATGTCTTTGTACCTTGTGCAAATTGAGTGTGTTACGTTGAAAAAAAGAATTTTCACATACAGTGCTATATGATGCTGTCATGTTATGAGTACATATGGCTGCCTGTCATAATATTAAAAAGGAAAATAGATTATATGTAGCTCCGATACACTCTATTTAGATGGCAGAGTCCTTAAAGTCATTGCAATGATTTGACATTGATGTTTCCACAAGGAGACCTGTGAACGTGTTTGCTGTTGCTGATAATGGGAAATGTAAAGTGTGATATCTTAACTCTCTCTCTGCTGGGCAAGCCACGGCAGTTACTCCCACCTGGTGTATAGCCCACCCTTCCTTGGCATGAATCCCACCATGCTCCTAAAGACCTTGGTTCACCCAGATATCTTAAACTTGATCCTGCCAGCTGCTTGGGTCTGTGTGTACGATGACCCCACGTGTCCTCTCACAAAATAACACATACAGCGTGTTAGTGATCATCCTAAACAAATTTATATTGGTCATCCTAAATACGTTTTTAAGAAGACAAAGTGCGGTGACTCAGCACTGCAGGTCACATTGAGAAATTCATATTGCTAGAGGTATAAACAAACACTTTATACTCTTCTACCCATCTGAATACAAACTCTTCACAGCCTTGATTAGTTTTATAGTTTCTTAAAGGGACACTATAGTCATTAAAGCAACTTTAGCTTAAAGGACCACTATAGTGCCAGGAAAACATACTCGTTTTCCTGGCACTATAGTGCCCTGAGGGTGCCCCCACCCTCAGGGACCCCCTCCCGCCCGGCTCTGGAAGGGGGAAAGGGGTAAAAACTTACCTTTTTTCAGCGCTGGGCGGAGAGCTCTCCTCCTCCTCTCCGCCTCCGTTACGCCCCGCCGGCTGAATGCGCACGCGCGGCAAGAGCTGCGCGCGCATTCAGCCGGTCTCATAGGAAAGCATTTACAATGCTTTCCTATGGACGCTGGCATGCTCTCACTGTGATTTTCACAGTGAGAAGCACGCAAGCGCCTCTAGTGGCTGTCAATGAGACAGCCACTAGAGGATTAGGGGGAAAGCTTAACCCATTCATAATTATAGCAGTTTCTCTGAAACTGCTATAATTATGAAAAAATGGGTTAACCCTAGAAGGACCTGGCACCCAGACCACTTCATTAAGCTGAAGTGGTCTGGGTGCCTAGAGTGGTCCTTTAATAAAGCAGTTTTGGGGTATAGATCATGCCCCTTCAGTCTCACTGCTCCATTCTCTGCCATTTAAGAGTTAAATCACTTTGTCTATTTGACTCTAGTCACCCCTCCCTGCATGTGACCTAGACTGCCTTCCTAAACACTTCCTGTAAAGAGTTATCTAATGTTTACACTCCCTTTATTGCAAATTCTGTTTAGTTTAGAATTTCTTATCTCCTGCTCTGTTAATAGCTTGCTAGACCCTGCAGAAGCCTCCTGTGTGTGATGAAAGTTTAATTTACAATTTAATTTAATTTGCTTATGTATAAAGAGTTTGTCTTTCACTAAAAGTACAGATTTTAATAGTAATTATAGATTGATGAATTGGGAAGTCTGTGAAAGAGACAGAAATAAATTCGAACATTTCTGCTACTTTGTATTCATTTGCAAGTTGTTTCATCATTTTAAACTTGCAGGTTGATCACCTCTAGGGTCATTCATTAAAGCTGGAACTGAAGGCATTCAAAGTGGATTTTAAATTGTAGGGAAAAATAACTAAATTGAAAACATTTTTCGAATTCTAATTCACTTTGAATTCACTTTAAACTCCCCACAAATCCCACCAATAAGCCTGCTTGAAACCATTTCTTGTAACTCATCTGAAAGGGCCTTCAAATTGTTTATTAATTCGGGACCAAAATGCAGCATAGTAAATATGCAAGACACAGTTTGTGATTAGCTTACATGGTAAATGTTTATCAAATGGATAGAGCAACACATAGAAAGCAAATCCCCAGCACACACACACACACATCCTCAACACACACACACACACACACACACACACAGACACATATTATATATCCCCAGCACACACACACACATATCACCAACACACACACACACACACACACAGACACATATTATATATCCCCAGCACACACACACACATATCAACACACACACACACATATCACCAACACACACACACACAGACACATAGTATATATCCCCAGCACACACACACACATCCTCAGCACACACACACACAGACACATATTATATATCCCCAGCACACACACATATCACCAACACACACACACACATACACACACACAGTCACATATATCCCCAGCACACACACAGACACATATTATATATCCCCAGCACACACACACATATCCCAGCACACACACACACACACACACACACACACACACACAGAGACACATATTATATATCCCAGCACACACACACATATCCCCAGCACACACACACACAGACACACACATATCACCAACACACACACACACAGTCACATATATCCCTAGCACACACATACACAGACACATATTATATATCCCCAGCACACACACACATATCCCCAGCACACACACACAGTCATATATATCACCAACACACACACATATCCCCAGCACACACACACACATATCCCCAGCACACACACACATATATCCCCAACACACACATATCCCCAGCACACACACACACACACATATCCCCAGCACACACACACACATATCCCCAGCACACACACATATATCCCCAGCACACACACATATATCCCCAACACACACATATCCCCAGCACACACACACACACACACACACAATATATCTCCAACATACACACACAATATATCTCCCCCTCTGTAATGACAAGATATTACACTGTTGGTGAAAGTGTAAAGAGAAGATGATAAATCCTTCCTCTGCAGTTTGTCAGCATTAACCGTCTCCAGCATATTACACACTATAAGCTGTTTAGATAGCACAGGAGGACGTTATCCAAGTCCTTGGCATTGGCTGTGAATTACAGAGCTAGTTTGCTTGGTAATTAGGGAGTTCGCTGCCTGTTGACATGATTGGTGATTGCACATCTGTGAAGGGATTAAAGGACGTGACTTTAGGCTATCTGGGAGCCAGGGATAACGAGATATCACCACAGAAGTGGTGACATAAGTTTTACAATGAGAGCTTCTACACATCACCATGTCTGCTTTGTTCATTCATTGTAGAAGACCATATTTTCGGCTCATAAAAAACAAAACAAAAACAAAAGTACCCCTTCCCTACAAAATTATTTTTATTTCAAATCAGTATGAAATGTATCTGAAATATGGGAGGCAAAACTCCCATTTTATTTATAAACATTGAATTAAAGTTTCTCTGGAAACGTCTGCTCAGTGATACTTATTAAAGTGACACTCCGGTCACTGTAACAACTTCATCTGAGTTATGTTGTTATGGTTCCAGGAGGCCCCCAGGCACTCTCTTACCTTAATGGGTTAAACCATTCTTGAACAGTTTAACCATAAAAGTTGTCTCCAACGCCGATCTCCAGGGAGCATCCGGCTTCTAAAATCAAAGTCACAGAGAGTCCGGACTGCTGCTAGTTAGGGCGCCTCTGATTGGTTAGAGAGGAGAGCTGACGCTTAACCAATCTTATATGAGAAGCTTATATTTTCCTCAATGGGGAGCTACTGATTGGCTTAGAGCATCAACTGACCGCTACAATATTTCTAAAATGATTAAAATGTCTATATGCCCCTTTTGAGCTATACAGAATGGATGATTCTGTGCATATTTAAACATTTTATCTTTCCCCAACGCCAATACCTTTCTGGATTTATCTGTTGTTTAGAGTTTGTTATTGAAATGATCTCAATTGTGCTATGTTTCAGAATCATTTTCTTTTTTAAGGAACTTGATGGCATTTCTCAAAATTCAACTCTTAAAGAATAATGATACTGTGCATTCTGGCAGTCTTTAAAGAATTTCTCCAGTGTATTCCATGCATTCGAAGCCCTCGCTTCGCCCATATCTAGCTACACAAATTCACTCAGGAAGTAAGAAAGAAGGTAGGTTAGCAGGATGTGCGGTTGATTTACACTTGAGATACTCTATGTAGAGCAGATATCTTCCCACACAGTTTTTCACACAGGCAGTAGTGTACACACAATCCATGGGGCCCTGGTGCGAAACTGATCCGTGGGCCCCCCCCTCTGCTCTTCCTCCACCCCCCCACCCCCCGACAGACACACACACACACATTTATTTATTTATTTATAAAATATTTTACCAGGAAAGATACATTGAAATTTCTATTGTTTTCAAGTATGTCCTGGGTCCACAAATCATTGCATTGTTACATTAGGTACAACAAAATACAAAAACAATATTAATACACAATATATACAAAATTTAACATAGAACAGGCAGGAAATATATAATCAACCATGACACGTGCATACATACATACAGACACACACATAGACACATACAGACAGACAGATACATACAAACACATACACACATACATACATACATACAGACATATACATACAGAAACACACAAGGTAGGTATACACACATACATACATACACACACAACACATACATACATAGACACATACACACACATACATACAGACACAAGACACATATACATACAAAGACACACACACACACACAACATATACATACATACAAAGACAAGACACACATACATACAAAGACACATACATACACACATATATACAGACACACAAACATGACACACATACATACAAAGACACACACACAAAATATTTTAGTCACCCTCCTGTTTCCTACCTTTTAGGTGCAAGAGGGTGACATTCCCTGGGGTCCAGTGGTGGCTCAGGTTGATGGGAGTCAGAGTTCCTACTCTGACTCCCTCCTCCTTCCTCCTGCGTGGTCTGTGTGTTAGCTGGGAGGAGTGACGTGCGGTCACTTCCTCCCAGCTCAGTGTGATGTCATCACAGGGGGCCCAGTCGCGCTATTAAAGTGCCCAAGCGCTGACCGGGCCCCCTTACAATCCATCTCCATCGGGTGGCCCTGACAGCATTGTTATGGCGGGTACCTGGTCACAGGCCAGGCCCCCTGGAGTGACGAGCCCAGTCGCAGCTGCGACCCCTTACGTCTCTGCACACAGGTGAGTATTTTAAATCATTGTATAGAACACTCATTAAACATGACCTCCAAAGAATGCTGTGTTAAGTATGGAAGGAGATGGAGCTTCTGCCATTTCCATTCCCCTGCAGAGAAGCCAAGGTTCCAAATTAAGTTGGTAGAAAAAATGTATAACGCAAAACTAAGTAAAGCCTGCATATACATGTGATTGAGAGAGAAGAAGTAAGGGAACACAGTAATCTCCATAGAAATGTTTACTAAGTGCTCAATCACAAAGAAGTTATTGGCTGAGAATAGGCTTATACCCACAAGTATACCGCTTGTATGGTACCGCCATGAATGGTTTAGTTTTTGAATGATACCAGATTTAGATCAATCTCCAAGTCACAGATTTCTTGTTTCAGTTAAAATATTGTGGCCTAGGTTTTGCCATTTGCAGTTTACAGAACAACCCTCTTATTCGGATATAGACACGTGCCATCTGTCCTAGGACCTATCTGAACACAGGTATTCTCTCTAAATTTCCCAAGGTGCTTTTACTCAATGGATTTAGTGTCTTATTTGAGGACCCATCCGAAAGGGCCCCAAATTGTTTATCAAAGCCACTCACAAGGAAGAGGCACCTGCTTTCTTAAACTCCCCTAAACATCCAGTAAATAGATAAAGCAGATAAGAGAATGCGATGAATTCGAATTTTTACGAAGTCTCTGTCTAAAATTCACTGTGTCCACCAATGTCGAAAACTAAATCAGCATAGCATTTTCCGAGAGATACAGTCACAAGGCCACACTGGCATGGTGCCAACTCACTGCTTTACAAGGAAACACATTTAACACTCCCAAGTCAACTGCCGTACTCACCTGTTGTATCCTCTGTCCTCTCTATTGGTAGATTAAGGAAAAAGTGCAAATATTATCTCTACAAATAACGAGTATCTAGGACACAAAAACAAAGTCGATAAAATCATGTAGCAATCGATTTTTAGGAAACTGTAATATAATCATTTTGAAACCACGTTCAAGTAGCACGAAAGTCAGGCAAACAAATCAGCATTATGTTAAGGGAGAGAAACGTCGGTCAAAAATAATTATACCTTTTATTGAAACATCATATCTTTTCTCACCTTCTTTGCTTCCTTTTACTCTTTTCAGATATCGATATTTATTTTTAATTCAAGTTGAAATTCATTTGTTTGCTGAACAAATGACTCTGAGAGAGAACACAATCAGTCTGCTGGATACAATGCTACATTTTGTTGAAGGTTAAAGAAGAGACTTACAAGGTTACTCATTAAAGGTGAGAACTGCAGGGAATTCAAAGGGCATTTCAAATCTATTTATTTATTTTTTATAAATATCGTTCTATTATCTCTTGAGTTGTTTTGGTAATATAAAACAGGACTCGCCGTATCCAAGTGGTAGTATAGAGCATTTTTTACATTTAAAAGTACATAAATTAACATAGTGAGAATATTAACTTTTGAAGACTCACAGGTCTCAACAGGACGAAGCAGTCAGTATGCAGAGGAACATGCAGGTCCCAGGAACACAGGAAATCACAAGGGAATCACCAGGAGCACTAAACAAGGATCCAAGAATGGAGGCTAAAACAAGCTTTAAATAGGCTCAAAAGAGTTCCCATTGGTCCACGTCATCTCTGCAAACCCAAACAGCATTAGGTCGCTTAGATAATGTGGTTCCTTTAACCCATTAAGGACCAAACTTCTGGAATAAAAGGGAATCATGACATGTCACACATGTCATGTGTCCTTAAGGGGTTAAGGTAATGACGTCTTGACTTTAGCTTTTCTTTTTAGGGGTTGTAGTTCGTCCCGTGAACCAGAAGAGGGAGCCGTTTGCGGGACCGAAGGTAAGCATTATATTCAGGCAGCGCGGCCTCGTTGAGCATTTGGGCCATGAGGCCCAAGGACTAAGGCGATGCGGCCACACGGTGCGTTCTGCCCGCGTGGCCGGAGGAGAGGAGCGGTGTGGGCGCCGGGTAAAGGTAAGTTCGTGACACGCACATACTTATATACATACACACAGATACACACATGCAAATATACAGACACACAAAACACACACTGACACACAATGACAAATAGTTACAAACCCAGATACACATACACAAATACACAGACACCCAAGAGTGGGAACTCTGACTGCCATCAGGCTGAGCCACCACTGGACCCCAGGATAGTCACCCTCCTGCATCTAAAAGGTAGGAAACCGGAGGGTGACTAAAACATTTTGTATATGTGTCTGTTTGTTTGTATGTATGTGTTTGTATGAATGTTTCTCTGTATGTGTGTATGTATGTCTGTGTGTATGTGTGTGTATGTCTGCGTGTATGTGTCTTTATGTGTGTCTGTATGTGTGTCTGTGTGTGTTTAACCTTGCTTTTAGATCACCCATACTATTGCCTCAACGACCCGGACTGGACTTTACTACTCTTCTGGATTCTCCCAAATAAATTTGATTATCACCTAAATTCTATTTTAGGAGATTGCAACTTCATCTTGGTAACGATCCAATTTCTCCAAGCCTGTCATTTTAAACCGGTAAGTAGTCTTTATTTGTAATCTATTTGGCAAGTTGTTTAAATATATTACAGTAATTCCACTATCACATAACTTATTATGGTGTTTATACAGGTTTACACTATTGAAGCTTTTCTGTGTTTTACATATATCCCATGTGAGATGTCCACAATAGAGTTGGCATTGATTGCACCGTAACTCCCAAGAAAGGACTTGACTAATCATTCATCTTATATCTTTAGCAAGGATTATATTGCCACAAGCCATTATGTGAGAGCTAAATAATAGCTTCTTCCTTGTGAGTGCATTTTCAACTATTTTATTATTTAGCTTTGGTAATACAATCTTACACGATATATGTTTATTGTCTTCACACATCAACAAAGCTTACCCAGATCTGTGAGGATACCAGACTACCTTTCCAGATATCGTTTCCACAAAGATTCCTTTCACATCATAAAGATTTATTTTGAGACTATACTGTATCAGTCACAAACTATGTATGAATATTTATTAGTTGTAAGTCAGTATACGTTAAGACAATATTGTTTATCTGTAACTTTATCATTATTTGGTGCAACCTGTTTTTTCCTTTCTGTGCAGTAAACAGTATCAGCGGATATGGTAAAGTCGGGGTAATGGGTAATATCCAGTAATGCCCCAGGATCCTGTACCGGATGGAAGTTGGAATCGTACGTCAGAGACAGTAATGGTGATGGGTAGGTTAAAAGGCTACACCTCCCTGAAGTCATTCACCAGACCTTCAGAGTGTCTCATGTCAACTAGGCACATCCATCACCAGGGCCGGACTGGGGATACGAAGCAGCCCTGGAAAAAAATATCTGCCAGCCCCAAGTCATTGTGCTATGTAGGGTGTTTTATATATATATATATATATATATATATATATATATATATATATATATATATATATATATATATATATATATATATATATATATATATTGTAACAAACCACCTCTTTTACAGGTAGGATTGTCACCGATCTTGCAGTAACCACAGCCTTCTAGGGTATACAAAGTCCAGGACACATTCAGCTCGGTTTTCCTTTTTATTCAATAAGAAAACAGGTGCTTTAAATAATAACAAATAAACAAAATCCCTTGCTCTTACTTGAGCTCTTACTAGACAGGAATTGCTATCTGTAATTGGGTGGCTTTCCCACTTACCAATTTTCCAAAAGAAATGGCTTTGCAATAAACACAATTGTCATTCACTCTCAAAGCTGGCTTTATCTCCCTCACTCTGCAGCAGGCTGCCCTCTTCTTTTAAAGGCCTGTCTACTAATTGACTGGCTACAGGTGAGTGCCAATTAATTAACTCGTAAGTCAGATCCAAATAGTGGTCTGTTACACAGCAACTAATGCTGTTGGAGCATTGGCCCACCCTGCTCTCCAAATACTCCGCCCCAGGGACCCATACCATGATTTGCAGAACCTCAGCAATGTATATTGCAAACTTTAACATCTCTCCCTGGGGCATTTAACTGAAAATCCTCTGGTTGCTGTTTAGCAAATCAGGCTTGATATATCTTCCATCAACCACAATTCCACTTTTACGCTCACAATATATATATATATATATATATATATATATATATATATAGGCAATTGAAATAGTTGGCTGCACTCTCGGATTTCCTTAAAACGTAACTTTTATTGAAATATTTAAGAGAAGATCAACGTTTCAGTCCCTCTTGTGGACTTTCACACACACACACACACACACACACAGACAGTCACACACACACACACACAGACAGTCACACACAGGCAGACAGTCAGACACACACACACAGAGAGTCACACACACAGGCAGAGAGACACACACACACACACAGACAGTCACACACAGGCAGTCACACACACACACACACAGGCAGTCACACACAGGCAGACAGTCAGACACACACACAGGCAGTCACACACAGACCCACTGACCTCCTTCTTACCTCCTGCTTGGAGCTCCTGGAGGCTGGTTGTTGGGGAAGCAGGGACTCCTTCCTGCTTCCCATGCTGCATTAGCCAGGGCCCCCGCCGCACGCTATGCCCCGTCCCTCGCGCACTAAGCTCCGCCACCCCCGCCTCAATATTATTATTTTTTAAATATTTTATTTTTGAATGATCCCGGCCTGCCATGTGTGAGCTGTGCCGGCTGGCTCCTCCTGCTCCCATGGGGTCCTGTGCGGCCGCACAGCTCGCACATGGCCGGCCGGGATCACAGGAGCCTGATCAGTACTGAATGGGGCTGTCAGCCCAGCCCCAGGTGCCGCGGCCCACCGGGAGATTTCCCGGTATCCCGGTGGGCCAGTCCGGCCCTGTCCATCACCCCACCCCAGTAACCAGGTTATGAGAGCCAAGAGGTTTCCCTTGAGGAAACTCTTTGCCCATTCAACAATTCGTAATAGATGGCAGGCCTTGTAATAAAGTTGGAAGTCGGGCAATGCCACCCCTCCCCTCCCTTTAGGTTGTGAAAGTTGGGTGAATTTTATGTGGGGCCTTCCCCCCACATTAGTTCTCAGTAGCATGTGTAAGGTCCTCACGATCTCTATGGGAATAGTCTAGAATAAGTAAAATAATCTGGAAAGGAAGTTCATCTTCACTAACTGTATTCTACCGAACTAGGAGATCTGCAGGTCTGCTCATTCCATCATCTCCTTTTGAAATCTGGTTAGCATCGTAGCAAAGTTCTCTTTTAAACAAATCTGACTATTTGGTGGTAAAATCCAGTATTAAATCTTATGACCCGTCCACTAGAACGCTAAACTCTGGTGGAGTGGGATGGCGAGGGTCTCACACCAACATTGAGGATGTGTTATTTATAAACATTTATTTTGAAAATTATGATCACTCTAAAGTCTTTAAAGGTCGACTAAATATTGGGTAGAGATACTTCTGGTTTGGCTTATCACTAAACTGCAATCTTTACGTTTGGATTCCAATATTGTTGAATGGGTAAGGCAGTGGCTGAGTGACAGGCAACAGAGGGTTTTAGTCAATGGAATATATTCGAAGCTTGGACTTGTCACCAGTGGGGTACCTCAGGGATCTGTACTTGGACCCATTCTCTTTAATATTTTTATTAGTGATATTGCAGAAGGTCTTGATGGTAAGGTATGTCTTTTTGCTGATGATACTAAGATATGTAACAGAGTTGATGTTCGAGGAGGGATAAGCCAAATGGCAAATGATTTAGGTAAACTAGAAAAATGGTCAGAGTTGTGGCAACAGACATTTAATGTGGATAAGTGCAAGATAATGCATCTTGGACGTAAAAACCCCAATGGCAGAGTACAGAATATTTGATAGAGTCCTAACCTCAACATCTGAGGAAAGGGATTTAGGGGTGATTATTTCTGATGACTTAAAGGTAGGCAGACAATGTAATAAAGCAGCAGGAAATGCTAGCAGAATGCTTGGTTGTATAGGGAGACGTATTAGCAGTAGAAAGATGGAAGTGCTCATGCCATTGTACAGAACACTGGTGAGACCTCACTTGGAGTATTGTACACAGTACTGGAAACAGTATCTTCAGAACCTTAGAGTTCTGAGAAGGGCTACTAAACTGGTTCATGGATTGCAGGATAAAACTTACCAGGAAAGGTTAAAGGATCTTAACATGTATAGCTTGGAGGAAAGACGAGACAGGGGGGATATGATAGAAACATTTAAATACATAAAGGGAATCAACACAGTAAAGGAGGAGACTATATTTAAAAGAAGAAAAACTACCACAACAAGAGGACATAGTCTTAAATTAGAGGGACAAAGGTTTAAAAATAATATCAGGAAGTATTACTTTACTGAGAGGGTAGTGGATGCATGGAATAGCCTTCCAGCTGAAGTGGTAGAGGTTAACACAGTAAAGGAATTTAAGCATGCGTGGGATAGGCATAAGGCTATCCTAACTATAAGATACGGCCAGTGACTAATGAAAGTATTTAGAAAATTGGGCAGACTAGATGGGCCGAATGGTTCTTATCTGCCGTCACATTCTATGTTTCTATATTTCTATGTTGGTTAAGAAGAAAAGGAGGTAGTCAACATAGACCACAGTTGTGGATTATATGTGTCTCCTGTCACTGTGCCCGTTATGTCTGGATTGTTCCTGATTGCCCTTAAAAATGGTTCAAGGGCAAGGACGAAGAGCAGTGGGGATAAAGGACATTCTTGGCTGGTGCCATTATGCATTGAGGATTCAGCCGTCAGTGCCCCATTAACTATCACCTGTGCTGTTGGTGCACGGTAAAGCACTTCTATCCATTTCCTCAAGTGATGCCGTATACATTTTTATTTCTAAACTTCTATTTTATTGTGTAATTTCACTTTTTTCTTCTCTTTTCCTTAATTTCATACTTTTTTTATTTTTCTTCATACCCTCTCTCTTTGCTCAGTGTTCTTATTCGTTCCTCATTAATTTCTCCACTCTTCCATTTTACCTTTTTTTTCCTCTTATCTACAAGACTATTTACTAAAATGAGAATTTAAAGTGAATTTCAAACTCAAGGTCGATATAGCTAAAATAGAATACTTTTTAAAGTCCGCTTTGCCTGCAGTTTGGCAAGTTTGCCCTTAATTGTGAAATTAACTTAGCATTTTCACTTATAGGAACAATTCTGTTCCCACATTCCTTAATGGTTTCTTTTTATTACTTGATCCTTCATAATTAAATATGTCTCATCCTTTTAAAGGGTGTGGGAAAATGGAAAGTTTTGACCCTATTTGTGAATAGTGTTTTCAGAGGAGATTCTGACTAACATTTTACCTGCCAAGTGTGATCAAACCCTACCATGATAATGTCAGTGTCCCTTAAATCACATTCAAAGTGCCAAAATATTCTCATGTTAGTAGGCCTCCTAAAGCCATGAAAATGTTAAGACAACCAGATACGTTCTCCTCCGATGTTTGGGTGATAGGGACATATAAGATGACTTTACACAATTTTGTCCCAAAAGTTAATGGAATTAGATTTCTGTCCTGTAGGACATCCAGAAAGTCCCTTCTCCTCTAACCCGCTGTCTATTTTCGGCTAATAAAGTCCCTTGCTATTGGAACCCATATTTCTTTCAACGCCATGATCACTTTTCGTGTATTATTTCTCGTTCATTAGCCTGGTTGGTGTTCAATAGAATGTTTCCTGGCCTACTTATTCAGTCTACATAACTAACAGGATGTACAAACTTTCCTGTTATCAGATCTTCTAAAAAACTTTATTATTCCATTTCACTGTTTGAAAAATTGCGTAACGCACCATATTTTATCTTTATATTTGTCATGGGAATTTCCTAGAGCCTTATTGGTTTCCACTGTGTGGACTCACTAGCAGTTTGGGGCAGTTTTTCTGTCCTTGGCATCTTACAAATTGTACTTAACTATTGCTACCTTTTGTCTCACTTTCCATTATGACCTATAGATTGTAAGCTCATGGCCCATTTTGTTCTGTATAAAAAGTGTTATGCATGCTAAATTTTACTTTCATAAGCAGATCAACAATTCCAGTGCTTATTAAATGTTTGTGTACTCTGAAATCTGGTTTACCTCTAGAAAGAGGTGGCAGTCCTCTGCAATTTTCTATACAGAAAAATAAAGTGCTGTTAAAGGACAACTGTAACTTCGTAGGATTTTTTAATATGATGTTTACTTATCCTCTATATTTAACAATATGTGTTTCTGAGGTGTGAAAAATAAAACTAAATGCAGAATTCTTTACCTCGACTCTGGAGAGCCTCCATCTTAGTACCCTGTCAATTATTGTTATAAGCTCTGCCCTTTGGCAAAGAGGCCAACATAAATTATAGGACATTTTTAATGAATCATTCACTGGTGTAATCTACAGAAAATGAATGGGTTTCCTTTAAAACCAAACACTTGGGATGCCTGCGACTATATACCCTATGGGTAAAAAGCACGTGGTCCATTCTCTTTTGGATTTAAAAGATATTGCAGTAATAGAATTTTAGTAGAGCAAGCTTAAAAATGATCAAATTTAAAATTCTTTTGTCCAATAAAATAATCATTAGAAGATTGTGCAGTCCTCCATCATTTTGCATTTGTTTCGGCAGATTAATAAAGCTAGTTGAAAAGCATAGTTTTTTAAAGAGATTAGTTTTTTGTTTTTTTTCTAATTTGCGTTAAAACTTCTCCATGTGCATATCATAAATGATTGTCACTAAAAGAGGCGAACAAGGTCGTTAGAAAAAGCAATACTGATGTCATGGGATTGTTTCTGTAATAAAAATCCAATCTTAGCGACCAGAGAAGGTGATGAGTTACAGCAAATGGGATGCGAGATCGTGTCTGAAGCTGGCCGATTTTGATACATTAATCCCCTCGCTTAATGTTACAATGTGTACAGCATGTTTACGCTTTGCATTCGCCATTCACGGCAGAGAAATCCATAATACAGGATTTATTGAAAGCCGAGCTTTCATTGCGATAATTATTAACGAATCCTGATACATTCAGCGGGTGATTCTGTTTTTATGCATGGGCCGTGCACCGTATAAAATCTATTCTATAAATAGCGTTCTGAAGCTCAGTGCGCATTTAATGATGGCTGAAATCGGTGTAAATTTGATACAACATGAAACGAGCCTTCTGATTTTTAACTATGAATATATACTGTGCCATGATTATCGTATTTATTTCTCCCTTCATACTGGATAATCCTTCAGCACCAGAGATTTCTGTAGCTCTCAGATCTCTCTGGAGTTTTGATCCCATGTGCAGCTCATGTCCGGGGCAATGGAAAATATTTAATGCTATAGAAATGATGTCATCTATGATCCTACACATCTGTGTAGTATGTTACAGTCACGGGTAGCTCGATAGAGCCATTGGTCACGAAAGCTGCAGTGTTTTCCACCCCGTGTAAAGCGAAGATCTAGAGGCGCAATAACTCCTTCATTCTTTCCCTATATGGTACCATTTTCTACTATGTCTATGTCAAAGTTAATTATAATGCTATATGTTTATGGATTTGAATTTTACCAATATTGTTTATTTGACGTGTTTATCACTCCTCGGTTCTACAAGACACCCAGTTCTGCTGTGGTGAGAAGAAAAGTGAAGATTGGTTAGCCTGAAGCGACCAATATAAAGCACATCTACTCCTTATGGTGTAGTCAGCTCTAGAGCAGTTTCTATCCAGTAGTAACATACAGGGTTTTATGGAGACTAGCCATGTCATACGAATTATCGCTGAACTGCTGTGACCGCAAAAAGCACATAATTCATACTATGCAAAACCACACATGACGGAGAAGCCATAATAGAAATAGAACCGCTGGCCATTCTAAAGAGATTTTATGAAGATAAGAGCTGTGTGCAGTTCGAGATATGGATGACATGCCATATACAGCCTGACATAGCTCCTAGCAGACAATGTTAGAAGCCATGTTATCCTGACGGTTTATCCCTGGAAGGTCTCCTGACCATTTAAAGACTGAGGGGATTTTCTATCTGCTACATAATGGAGGCGGCATATAATCCGAGAGTCTCAGTTTGGGCCTTTTGGCAACAGGTTGTATCACGGACATATTTTATGTCCCAAGTACCCTGCTGACAGTGGGTCATTAGCATGAAATCCTCTCAATAATCCAAGCCAATGCTCAGTGTGGAGTCAGCACAGACAGAAACTGGGACTCTCACCTCCCAGGAGAACAGTGATTAGCAGGCCTGCCAGCCAGCTCCATTGTTCCTATTGTTGAGGTGCCCAGCTGGTTCAGTCACATGTCCAGTGCTGGCTGGCACTTCCTGGCTGCACTGAGGGCCTGTGTTTGGCTGTTTTCTTTGTCTTACAAACTTTATGAACAAGAAGTATCAACTTTCATGCAAGATTCTTTTTTGAATTCTAAATGGATTACTTTTCAGCAACTGTTCAAGTAACAATTAGAATTTGACAAGTAGAACGATACATGGAAATTGTACGTCACTTTGGGCCTTTACTTATTGCTTATTACAGCATGACCTGAATATTTTACCCACAAAGGGACACTCCAAGCACTATAACCACAATAGTGTATTGCATGATTTATGGGTGCAGTCCCCCTGTTTTCTCAAACTGTTTTCAGGTGGTTTGACAACTATTTCTGTATTATCAATGTAAATTCTGTCTAACCTGACCACATTAATAGGCTGAACGTGCAGGGGGGCAGATTAACACATAACAGTAGTGGTTATGGTGCATAGGGTCGCTGTAATTTGCACAGAATAATGATTTGCAGCCTGTTGTGTAAGGCTCTTACATTTGCCTGCCTTTAATAAAGACAATATAAAAGAGTATGTTTCTTAATGTGATATATGCTTAGTATACTAAGTATACTTTACTGCTCCCACTCGAAGGCTATTCAAGATATACACTACTCTTTCTATATCACCATTAGCCTTTACTGCTTCCACTGGAAGGCTATTCCAGGTATCTACTACCCTTTCTATATCACTGTTACTGCTCCCACTGGAAGGCTATTCCAGGTATCTACTACCCTTTCTATATCACTGCTACTGCTCCCACTGGAAGGCTATTCCAGGTATCTACTACCCTTTCTATATCACTGCTACTGCTCCCACTGGAAGGCTATTCCAGGTATCTACTACCCTTTCTATATCACTGTTACTGCTCCCACTGGAAGGCTATTCCAGGTATCTACTACCCTTTCTATATCACTGTTACTGCTCCCACCGGAAGGCTATTCCAGGTATCTACTACCCTTTCTATATCACTGTTACTGCTCCCACTGGAAGGCTATTCCAGGTATCTACTACCCTTTCTATATCACTGCTACTGCTCCCACTGGAAGGCTATTCCAGGTATCTACCACCCTTTCTATATCACTGCTCCCACTGGAAGGCTATTCCAGGTATCCACTACCCTTTCTATATCACTGTTACTGCTCCCACTGGAAGGCTATTCCAGGTATCTACTACCCTTTCTATATCACTGTTACTGCTCCCACTGGAAGGCTATTCCAGGTATCTACTACCCTTTCTATATCACTGTTACTGCTCCCACCGGAAGGCTATTCCAGGTATCTACTACCCTTTCCATATCACTGTTACTGCTCCCACTCGAAGGCTATTCAAGATATACACTACTCTTTCTATATCACCATTAGCCTTTACTGCTTCCACTGGAAGGCTATTCCAGGTATCTACTACCCTTTCTATATCACTGCTACTGCTCCCACTGGAAGGCTATTCCAGGTATCTACTACCCTTTCTATATCACTGTTACTGCTCCCACCGGAAGGCTATTCCAGGTATCTACTACCCTTTCCATATCACTGTTACTGCTCCCACTCGAAGGCTATTCAAGATATACACTACTCTTTCTATATCACCATTAGCCTTTACTGCTTCCACTGGAAGGCTATTCCAGGTATCTACTACCCTTTCTATATCACTGCTACTGCTCCCACTGGAAGGCTATTCCAGGTATCTACTACCCTTTCTATATCACTGCTACTGCTCCCACTGGAAGGCTATTCCAGGTACTTTACCCTTTCCATATCACTGTTACTGCTCCTACTGGAAGGCTATTCCAGGTATCTACTACCCTTTCCATATCACTGTTACCTCCCACTGGAAGGCTATTCCAGGTATCTACTACCCTTTCCACTATCACTGGAAGGCTTCCCAGGTACTACTACTTTTCTATATCACGCTGCTCCCTCTGGAAGGCTATTCCAGGTAGGCTACCCTTTCTATATCACTGTTACCGCTACCGGAAGTCTCCAGGTATCTACTACCTTTCTATATACTGCTACTGCTCCCACTGGAAGGGTGTTCAGGTATCTACTACTTTCTATATCACTGTTACTGGCCCACTGGAAGGCTTTCAGGTATCTACTACCCTTTCTATATCACTGTTACTGCTCCACTGGAAGGCTATTCCAGGTATCTACTACCCTTTCTATATCACTGTTACTGCTCCCACTGGAAGGCTATTCCAGGTATCTACTACCCTTTCTATATCACTGTTACTGCTCCCACTGGAAGGCTATTCCAGGTATCTACTACCCTTTCTATATCACTGTTACTGCTCCCACTGGAAGGCTATTCCAGGTATCTACTACCCTTTCTATATCACTGTTACTGCTCCCACTGGAAGGCTATTCCAGGTATCTACTACCCTTTCTATATCACTGTTACTGCTCCCACTGGAAGGCTATTCCAGGTATCTACTACCCTTTCTATATCACTGTTACTGCTCCCACTGGAAGGCTATTCCAGGTATCTACTACCCTTTCTATATCACTGTTACTGCTCCCACTGGAAGGCTATTCCAGGTATCTACTACCCTTTCTGCATCACTGTTACTGCTCCCACTGGAAGGCTATTCCAGGTATCTACTACCCTTTCTGCATCACTGTTACTGCTCCCACTGGAGGGCTATTCCAGGTATCTACTACCCTTTCTGCATCACTGTTACTGCTCCCACTGGAAGGCTATTCCAGGTATCTACTACCCTTTCTATATCACTGTTACTGCTCCCACTGGAAGGCTATTCCAGGTATCTACTACCCTTTCTATATCACTGTTACTGCTCCCACTGGAAGGCTATTCCGGGTATCTACTACCCTTTCTATATCACTGTTACTGCTCCCACTGGAAGGCTATTCCAGGTATCTGCTACCCTTTCTATATCACTGTTACTGCTCCCACTGGAAGGCTATTCCAGGTATCTACTACCCTTTCTATATCACTGTTACTGCTCCCACTGGAAGGCTATTCCAGGTATCTACTACCCTTTCTGTATCACTGTTACTGCTCCCACTGGAAGGCTATTCCAGGTGTCTACTACCCTTTCTATATCACTGTTACTGTTTCCACTGGAAGGCTATTCCAGGTGTCTACTACCCTTTCTATATCACTGTTACTGCTTCCACTGGAAGGCTATTCCAGGTGTCTACTACCCTTTCTATATCACTGTTACTGCTCCCACTGGAAGGCTATTCCATGTATCTACTACCCTTTCTATATCACTGTTACTGCTCCCAATGGAAGGCTATTCCAGGTATCTACTACCCTTTCTATATCTCTGTTACTGCTCCCACTGGAAGGCTATTCCAGGTGTCTACTACCCTTTCTATATCACTGTTACTGCTCCCACTGGAAGGCTATTCCAGGTGTCTACTACCCTTTCTATATCACTGTTACTGCTCCCACTGGAAGGCTATTCCAGGTATCTACTACCCTTTCTATATCACTGTTACTGCTCCCAATGGAAGGCTATTCCAGGTATCTACTACCCTTTCTATATCACTGTTACTGCTCCCACTGAAAGGCTATTCCAGGTATCTACTACCCTTTCTATATCACTGTTACTGCTCCCACTGGAAGGCTATTCCAGGTATCTACTACCCTTTCCATATCACTGTTACTGCTCCCACTGGAAGGCTATTCCAGGTATCTACTACCCTTTCCATATCACTGTTACTGCTCCCACTGGAAGGCTATTCCAGGTATCTATTACCCTTTCCATATCACTGTTACTGCTCCCACTGGAAGGCTATTCCAGGTATCTACTACCCTTTCTATATCACTGTTACTGCTCCCACTGGAAGGCTATTCCAGGTATCTATTACTCTTTCTCTATCTCAGTCTTTACTGCATTGTGTATGTCTCTCTTTACCTGTCTCAGTCATAAAATTTCAGGAACAGAGGTCTGCTTGTTAAATCAAGGTTACCGATGCCATTATTATTGTTATTATTATTGCCATTTATATAGCGCAAACAGATTCCGTAGCGCTTTACAATATTATCAAAGGGGTAGATTTAACAATAAATGAGACAATTACAAAAACTTACAGGAACGATAGGTTGAAGAGGGCCCTGCTCAAACGAGCTTACAGTCTATAGCAGGTGGGCTGTAAAACACTGGACAGGTAAGGTGGAGCGAGTTAGTCTACCACTCTCAGACTTTCATCGTGGTCCAAGGTTGGGTGGATTTGCTCAATAGTGCGAACGTTCCATTTCTGAATTATCAGTCCACCTGCAGAGATATGAGAGCTGCTATAGTACCAACAATACTGGCCTTTGCAGCCTTATAGGAAATCCGACCATGCTGATCTCCATATATCTACAAATTTAAAGTGCAACCCTCCACTTTATTCTGGATACCACATCATAAGGCGCTGGTACCTGGGCCTGGCAGGGAACTTTGGACCTTCTCATCTCCCCAGTAAAAAAAAATATTATAGAATGTAGAAAAAAACTGTGATACAGCTGTAAACCTAAAAATATAATACAAGCAAACAAAATAACATAGTGTAGTATCCTTTGAAACACTTAGTGACACGCCAATATAGTACACTCACAGGATATCAGGAAAATATGTGCCTGAAGGGTGCCTGCCCCGATAGCAATGGGGGGCTCAGAGAGATCCTTCTTTATTCGTCCTTGCAGTGTAATTCAGCATATAAATTGAGCAGGAATCGGGAAGGTGGTAAAAAAAAAGCTATTTTATTTTCAATAAATTAAAAAGTATAAAATACCACTTTAAGTCCTACGCGTTTCATTCCAGTATAGGAACTTCTTCAGGGACTTAGTAAAAAATACGTATTTCAATAAAATCACAAAGATACAGAATGCAGTATAACAATGTATTTGCCTCAGTGTTAATGTGTTCACTTTTATTTACTGAGTGTCAGGAAGCACAGAGTGCCGCTGGGTAGGCGTGTCGCTGATTGGCTAGAGCGGTTAGCTGGCACTCTAAGCCAATCAGCAGCTCCCTATTCATAAAAACGTAAAACATTTTTACGAACCGGGAACTAGCGATTGGCTTAGAGCATCAGCTGACCACTCTAGCCAATCAGCAGCACCCATGCCTGACGTCAATCTGCACTTCCTGACACTCTGTTTCCGAAGCCGAATAACACTGAGCGACCTGGAGATCTGGAGCTGGAGGAAGCCTTTGGGGTTAAACCATTTGAGAGCAGTTTAACCCTTTAAAGGAAAGAGAGCACCCAGGGGCTTCCTGGAATCACAGCATTTTCATTTAGATGAAGTTGTTATGGTGACCAGAATGGTCCTTTAATTTGCTTAAAGGAACGCTATAGTGTCAGGAATACAAACGTATATTCCTGACACCATAGTTGTGAAAACGCTATTCACCCTGGCTTTATGTGATAATGGCTATGCCCCTTCCCTTTAATGACACTGTCAAAAAGGTACCAAGCATGGTAGTCATTACAATTATGCCCCCTTCCCCCCGGAAAAATTCCTGCGGACGCCCATGCAGGGGATGTGACTTTTGTGGGGTTTCCATGTGTTTCAGGGGTACTTTCAGGATATTATAAAATGTATATTTTCTGTGCCTGGAGATAATTGAGTTTAGTACAGTTCCTGACTCAATTGTCTCTTAGGCTTAGGATTACCCTGTTTTGTGTGGGAGTGTCCTGGACCTGAGAGCCAATGCCATTACAGTGTGTACTTTGTCATAGTCCCCTCTCAGGTCCATACTCACTATACTACCTTGGATTACAACACTAGCTCTTGTAAGAGCTATCCTGCTTTACTCTCTGGATTGGGAGAGGTCTACCCACTGGAAGCTGGATCCCTGACTTGGGTCCAAGGTGATTGGAGGACAGCGAGATCCCAGCCAAGCTGCGGTGGCTAAGGGTCTACAGTGCTGATGGTGTCTGGTGGAGTGCTTGGAGTACTCAGTGATTGGTCGAGGCACCCATTCGGGGTGCCAGGCGCTCCACCACAGGCTGTACTGTCAGTTCTGCTCCTGATACTATGAGACTCTAGATAGGTATACGGACCCCATGCAGTCAGTAACTCTCACACATACAAGTATTAACCCAAGCAGTAGCAAAGCGGTTTAATAAAGTGAGAATTAAAAGTGAATTTAAAGAGAATTTCAGATTTAAGTCCAAATTGGAAGCAGAGCTGACTTCGATAATTACTCCAGTTCGGCTATTTTGAATTCTCTTTAGTAAGTAACTCTGTAGGTATATTTACATCAGAGGTTTGTAGCAGCAAGAGACAAGCACACTATTAGTATGATAACTCACTTATGTAAAATATAAAAAATGATGCTGCTAAACACCCTTAGTGGGTTCTCTCAATATCAAACAGGGTTATTGATTGTACTCAGTTTATTGTGAACAGTTGCCGAGGACTTGATGAGTGTCATGTTCTCAATTAAACCTTTGAAAACTCACTGTTTGTATAAAGTAACCAGGAACTTTGATCACACTGCTATCACATTCCAATCAGTAGTAAAGACTATACAATATGTTTGACTTGGCAAGTGAGTGGGGTCACCACCAGTTGGGCAAGCTGTAAGAGAGAGGTCTGGGAGGAGCGGATTCTATGTATATTGCTAAATGGAACATTAACCATGACTGTTTCATGCTAACTGTGTACAATGCTTTATCACAGTGCATGTATGGCTAGGGCCTGATCAGAGCTGAACACGCCCACAGCGCCAAACAAAGCCGACCATTCTAGGGAACCGCATAATAGCAGAGATGGTAGTGATGGGACCTGAAGCAAGTCATGTAAAGAGCACTCTGTACAGTCACTGAACACTGGATCCCTTTCACCTGTCAATGTATTATCCATTCAGCAACGCCAGTGGTATTGTTGAAGAAAATAAGGCACATGAAACAACTGGTCCAAATTAAAAAGATTATTATTGAACAATCAAGCAGGATTACAAAACAAAGTGACAGAGTTTTAGCACTTTGATCATTGATCAATTCATTGATCAGATAAAACCGTGTCTTTATACTTTTTGAAGATGTCCCAGTGACGTGGTTTGACCAATCCAAGTCTCTGCGCGTTCTCCAACTCTGAGTTTATTTATCTCGCCCTCGTAGTACTTGGGTGGCTGATGTAGCATTTGAGAGTAAATTTGTGCATGCAAACAGAATTGATTAACCAATCAGAACATTTGTTTCATATGGCTTTTAAGCATCAATTTGATATTAAGCACAGGGCAAGATATAGGCAGTTAATATTTTCTTTAACAGCACCTATTTAATATTTTTGGATACGCTTTTTCAAATCATGTAATATTTTGAAAAATAGTTTAATATTTTTTGATATATTGATATATTTTTTATACATGATATATTTGATATTTTGAGAAAATCATTTTAAATGTTTATCCAAAAATATTAAATAATTTGACAAGCAAATTTCTGGTAATTCAAATGGATTGGTCTGTTTTGGTCCTGAACCATATTTGGGTAATAGTCACCAAAACAGCAAAGAGTTATTATTATTTTAATGTTAGTCTTTAACCCTTAGTTATTGTAACACAGAGTAACCGACATTGACGCACACTATACACTATACACTATACACTATATATATATATATATTGCTATTGTCAGTGCCAGATATCATATTGCAGTAACCCTTGCTGGGGATGCTCAGTATATGAATTATTTATTTCATACATGCCAGCAGTACCTTGGGAGCCATACAAGGTGACCAATAGCAGTTTCAGCACTAGATTTGCTGCTGATTTTTTATATAAAATAAATATAAAATGTGTATTTATCTGTCAGTGTTGTGTTGTGGTTATGATTTAGCATGTAGCCATGTGTGTGCCATGTGTGTGCCATGTGTGTGCTGGTGTCTCTGATTAACCCCCTGTGTGCCAGGCAGGGGCAGCCCATACAGGGAGAGGTTATATTTAGCCCCAGGCTGGGGATTATTAGGGTCCCAGTGAAGGATTAACCTCTGGGTTTGCAGCAGGCGGTGGGCGTGGCCCGTTGCACTGACTGACAGACCAGGCGGTGGGCGTGTCGGTGGGCGTGACCGGCTGCTCAGGATAGACCTGGCAGTTGCTGGGGCAGTTACCCACAGAGCTACCTGGGGGCAGGTGGGGCAGGATGCAGCACACCAAGAGGACAGTCCGCCTGGACCGGGGGCAGAGGCTGCAGGCAGTGTGTGTGCTGGGCACCTGCCTCTCCGTGGACGTCAATGGGTGAGCTGGAAACTGCCCCAGGGGGGGGTAATTAACCTAACTGCCCCCAGGGAGGGGTAATTAGCCTAACTGCCCCCCAGGGAGGGGTAATTAACCTAACTGCCCCCAGGGAGGGGTAATTAGCCTAACTGCCCCCCAGGGAGGGGTAATTAACCTAACTGCCCACAGGGAGGGGTAATTAGCCTAACTGCCCCCCAGGGAGGGGTAATTAACCTAACTGCCCACAGGGAGGGGTAATTAGCCTAACTGCTGGTAAACTGCCCCAGGGAGGGGTACTTAGCCTAACTGCTGGTAAACTGCCCCCAGGGAGGGGTAATTAACCTAACTGCTGGGGAAACTGCCCCCAGGGAGGGGTAATTAGCCTAACTGCTGGGGAAACTGCCCCCAGGGAGGGGTAATTAGCCTAACTGCTGGGGAAACTGCCCCCAGGGAGGGGTAATTAGCCTAACTGCTGGGGAAACTGCCCCAGGGAGGGGTACTTAACCTAACTGCTGGGGAAACTGCCCCAGGGAGGGGTACTTAGCCTATCTGCTGGGAAACCTGCCCCAGGGAGGGGTAATTAGCCTAACTGCGCTGGGGAAACTGCACTAGGGAGGGGTAATTAGCCTAACTCTGCCGGGGAAACTGCACTAGGGAGGGGTAATTAGCCTAACTCTGCCGGGGGAACTGCACTAGGGAGGGGTAATTAGCCTATATTAAGCAGATACTTGTCTGACCCTGCTGTTAAATCTGCCCCAGACAGAGTTTATTCGCCTGACTCGGCTAGAAAAATTGCCCCAGAGAGCAATAAATAGCCTGATTCTGCTGGAAAATTGCCCCAGAGGGGGAGTAACTATCCTGACTGTACTGGGAAACCTATCTAGAGGGGTAATTAGAGCAAATTGTTCCATGCGGGGGGATTGAATCCATTGGGAGGTTTTTCATGTCTGACCGAGCTGGAGATATAATTAACTTCTCTCCTGTACTAATGAAAACCCCCCAAGTTATGCAGGGATCCCCCCCATACCCTGTGTGTGTACCCTGCTATATAACCCCTGGGTGCAAGGTGCAGCCTTATCATAGAAGTTGTACATGGTGTTTAGAGCAGGGATTGTTTAATAGGGTTTTCTCTTGGTTGGTTGGTGAATGGCTTTATGAGGGTTAATGTGAATTATGTCTCAGAATATCAGATATTAGCCAGCAGTCTCTTACTAATCATGTACAGAAATCATGAGGTTCACAGATTTTTAGAACTCTCTGCTGAAAAAATTACTTTTCATTACTTTTACACATTCCACCAAAATGCTAATGGAATGGGTCCTTGGTGCCCAGGGGATTTAACCTTTAAACATTGAATTGTGGTGAATAAAAAAAACAAATTTCTAAATTTAGACTAAAATAGCCGAGAATTGATTTGTAGATTTACTTTATCCAAATCTGTTGTATTTGGCTAAGTTTTGAAAATTGTATTTCAGTTCACTGCGATTGTGTAATTAAAATTCTCTGGGTTTTGACGTGATGGCCTGCACAGTAAACCGATATGGGAATTATTTCACTAAACATTATTACAGCCATAAACATGTAAACTGCCCATTTTTGGCAGCAGGATTCCACCCTGGTAAATACAACATTAGTAGTAGGTCAGCAGTCACTACCTGTGGTGAAATCACCAAATGGCAATCAATAGGCCGCAGTAGTCAGGTTCCTCCAAAATTAGCATGTTGAGGGCAATGCTATTAAAGTTTAATAAAGTGAACTGGTTCTATGGGAGTCCAGACAAACTGCTCTGGGTCATGTTGGATACTGTATTTTTCCACTAGGTTTATTCACTAAATGGGGAACTATGGAGAAATGAAAGTGGAACTGAAATGTATACTATAAATATTCTGCACGGTTACTGTTCCAGTTTGAATATTTTTCACTTCTTTCAATTCCCTCATCAATCCTCTGCTGCTACATACTAACATAGCTGAAAAGAGACTTGCATCCATCAAGTTCAGCCTTCCTCACTTTTGTTTTTTTGCGGTTGATCCAAAAGAAGGCAAAAAAAAATCCCAGTTTGAAGCACTTCCAATTTTGCAACAAACTAGGAAAAAAATTCCTTCTTGACCCCAGAATGGCAGTCAGATTTATCCTTGGATCAAGTAGTTATTACCCTACATTGAAAGATTATATCTCTGAATATTCTGTTTTTGCAAGTATGCATCTAGTAGCTGTTCACAATTTAGTGAATAAAGACTTTTTCTTTTCTTCTGTTTGTATTAAGCGTGTAAATGACTATCTTTTAACATACCGGCACACTAGTCTCTATTGCCGCCCCAGACTGATCAGTAGGTCGGTATGTGAGCTGGTATGGTGAGGTCATTACACGGTGGCGTTTTGGGAATGAATGTGTGCTGCACACAGCATATCCCAGCTGCTAATTAGTGTGATTAGTGGAGTGTCTACTTACACTGAGGGCGACATATTTTTTGGGGGGAGGCAGAATGTTTAGTGAGACCGTAATATATCTTATTGTTCTTTAGTCCCTTTACCCAGTCAGGGTTTAATCACTCACCAGAGTGACTGTTTAAACCACTCTGTTTGTGTACCTCATCCTTTTACAAAAAGTATCATATGAGCTTCGTCTGACAGTCCATCTCCCTTTCCTTAATTCCCCTGAGCCCCTTGTCACAGCTCAGGCATCATCCACTCGTTTTGTTTTTCTATTGGCTTTGATATCTGGGTTACTTCATTTTCGGGGATTACCTGTCATTGCTTCTGTCATTTTAAGAGATGGATGTCTATGTAAAAAGGAACATGGTGTATCCATGTACTCTGTGCTAGCGTAAGACGATGGGGGGTCGTACAATTCATCAAATGTGTCGGCTCAGATAAACCTTAAATATAATATTTTTAAACCATTTTATCTGCTTCCCAGCAACCTGACAGTGGTAATGTGAAAGGCAAACTATTACTTAGAAATTTAATAATATATTTAAAATAAAAGCATTCATATAGATGAGTAGAGATTGTAGCCGTGTTAGTCCAGTGAAATGCTTTAGACTGGAGATAGGGAGGATCTCCTGAAAGGTTGTCATTACAAAATTCTGCTAGTCCAATAAAAAGGTATTACAAGATATCCGTTTCATCTGTTATTTTAACTTAAAAGATGTGGTTATCCAAATTAACTCTTCGTCCTCATTCTACAGGGAGTTCCAAAAAGTATGAAACTGCTTTGTGCACAGACATTTGTCTTACGTGGCTCAATTGGCATCCCACTAATCATAGCATGCTTCTGTGCCGACGTCATACAGACAGCCAAGTGTGTAATCTGGTGGCATAGGAGTAAAGCCCCGGAAATCATAATGTATAGTTCAATAGATGCCATTTTATTCATTTCACTAACACAGTGTATCGTCATCTGACACAATACAGTCTGAAGATTATCTGTCAATGGTAGGGGTTTGCCCATCATGTATCCCAATGTAATGGCATCATTTCAGTGCAGGAATGGGATGTCTACAAGATAACCTATATATAACGTTTGTGTAACTGAAATCCTGCCCCCTGTATTGCACCAGCTTAGTGTTTGCTAGCTATCTTTAAAGCCTGGTGTAGTATTTCAGTGTTTATGGTGTATGGAAAGGTCACAAACTATCTGATCTGCAATGCATTTTTTTTTTTTATTAGCACTCTAGAATTGTTTGAAGATCTGGGTGGGGTTTCCCATAAAAATTTTATTGTGAGAGTGCTGCTCAGGTGTGTGTGTGCGTGTGTTATAGGAGGTGTGGGGAGCTGCAGTGAGTGTGCTGCTCAGGTAGTGTGTGTTATAGGAGGTGTGAGGAGCTACAGTGAGCGTGCTGCTCAGGTAGTGTGAGTTATAGGAGGTGTGAGGAGCTGCAGTGAGTGCTGCTCAGGTAGTGTGTGTTATAGGAGGTGTGGGGAGCTGCAGTGAGTGTGCTGCTCAGGTAGTGTGTGTTATAGGAGGTGTGGGGAGCTGCAGTGAGCGTGCTGCTCAGGTAGTGTGGGTTATAGGAGGTGTGAGGAGCTGCAGTGAGTGCTGCTCAGGTAGTGTGGGTCATAGGTGGTGTGGGGAGCTGCAGTGAGTGTGCTGCTCAGGTAGTGTGTGTTATAGGAGGTGTGGGGAGCTGCAGTGAGAGTGCTGCTCAGGTAGTGTGTGTTATAGGATGTGTGGGGAGCTGCAGTGAGCGTGCTGCTCAGGTAGTGTGTGTGTGTGTGTTATAGAATGTGGGGAGCTGCAGTGAGTGTGCTGCTCAGGTAGTGTGTTATAGGAGGTGTGGGGAGCTGCAGTGAGTGTGCTGCTCAGGTAGTGTGTGTGTGTTATAGAATGTGTGGGGAGCTGCAGTGAGTGCTGCTCAGGTAGTGTGTGTTATAGGAGGTGTGGGAGCTGCAGTGAGTGCTGCTCAGGTAGTGTGTGTTATAGGAGGTGTGGGGAACTGCAGTGAGTGTGCTGCTCAGGTAGTGTTATAGGAGGTGTGGGGAGCTACAGTGAGCGTGCTGCCCAGGTAGTGTGC